TTGATTCAATTCATAAAATTGATGTTCGAAAGGCTTTCGGGATTTTTACCCAAGAGCTTGATTAAATATACTATATAATACAATAAAATTATTGTACGTCAAAAATAAACATATGTACTTTACTCGATTTTCAGTTGTCAATAAGACTATAGTGTAGTGTAGTAGAATTAGGTGACATAAAGTAAACCATTTTTTTTTTAACTATATAAAATGGTAATTTCAACTGGAATAAATCATTGATTATTCATGACAACTAATCTCTTTATTAATGATATTTAATCGTTCATTCTACTATTCATAATAGTGAATGTTGTAAGTTTAATAATTATTTTATAATTATTCCAACTAAATAGATTCAACTAATTAATTTTAATACTCTCGACTACACATTTATTATGTTATTATATTAACCTGAGATAATTGTTGAACTAATCATTTAATTGCGTATAATTATCAGCTTACGTATAAGTATTCAAAATACGCAAATCCAAATAATTACTAATTACAGTATAATATATATTATAATATAATATTATTGTCTTCTAAGGCGTAGTTAATTTAATAAATGTACATTATATTACAAAATTTGTATTACTCTTTTTGGACAGATCTCGGAAATTCTGATTAAATGTAATCGTGAAGAAAATGACAAACTACTAGTCTCGCGGGAGACAAAAGGATTGGATTTTCGGTGATCGAGATAGAAATATATATATATGTATTATATTATCGGACACGAGCGGTTCGTATTAGAAACTTCTCTGCAGAAGAGAGGGAAGTACTCTTATAATCCAAAAACGGGTCCTTTGTGAGATAACCCACGCGGCCGGCCGCGATACGACACGATTGTGATGAGGAAAGCCGCTCCGCACTTGACGCAATGGTCCCATCGCCGCCACACTTGCTTACACGCACCCGTTGACTTAATAAAACTTATAATTGGCACCCCATTGATTTCAGTGTAGGGTATTTTTTTTCTTACGGTCGTTGTTTTAATCTACAATACATTATATATATATATATGTGTGTGGAGGTAGCTTCGCCAGGAAAGACCCTCGAATACACTACGCGCGCACCGGTGGTAGTAATGCAACGATCAGGACAGCAAAGTACTTCATACTATTTTTATTATTGTTGTTATTATCGCGGTGTTCCGGCCTTCTTCCGGTTTCAATTTATTTTTCGCATTTGTCTCCTCCCGTCGAAACAATGCGGGGAGCAGCTCCAGATTTATACATTATTATTATCGTCGTTGTATATGTTATTTTTTTTGCATTTACTGAGGGCGATAAATCAACTGAAACGAGCATGTGTAAGTACTGTGATATTAAAAATGACAACGGTAAAAGGCTACTACTATAACTCTTCGTGCACTGCAAAAAAATGTGCTTATACGTACGTACACACTCATATATTTACACACACAATGAGAGGTTGAAAAATACGTGTAATGTTTTTTTTCATACTCTTTCACATATACATATTTTTATTATTATTATTATTAGGTATTTTTTTCGTGGTGGTTAGAAAAAAAAAATGGCGAAAACGATGAACATGACTGTCAGCTATATTCTCCTCGTATGAAAAAAAAAATAAATAAAAACGTGATGCGTGTGAATAAAACCGGAAAATGCGAGCAGCAACAGGTTACACGCGTGTATAGGCGTGTAAAGCTGTCGAGCAAAGGTTTTTTTCAAATTAACAGCGGTACATTATATAACATACACACACCCTTAGTAGTCACACATGGAAAAAAATAATCGCAGAGATTAGCTGTCGCTAATAGTTTGTCGGAGGGGATTCTGTATGTAATATTATATAGACGATATTTCTCGTGGTATGCGCTTAGTTTGCCGAACCGTTTTTGGTTCGCATGTGAAGTCTCGAAGACATATTTGCGGTGTGTTCATCAGTCTCCCCCATCCTTGCAAATCTCTGGTAGATATTCGTCAGTCCGGGTCAAAGGATAGCCCTTTTCTTCCGATGTTATGAAACGCATTTGTTCCCCGCCCGAAGTGTTGGGATTCCGGAAATTCGCAAGGAATATACACATTTGTACGTATCGTGTGTCCACGAAATCGGTGTATATAGATTAATATAATGTAACGCTATTTAGTACTTTACACTCTACATAGTACTATGATGCGGAAAATTTAACACACACCATTTGTGTTTAGTTATCAACAGCGACTATAATTCGTGGTGGACTACGAAAAAAGTCGTTCGAAAAAACTATTTATCTAGCCTTCAAATATGAATCGTCTTAGGTATACCTATGTAGTTTTTTTTTAGTGTATACATTTATGGTTATTTGTAAATCTTTTAGAACATGTTGATTTTAAATTAATAATAATAAAAACAAAATAGTTCATATTTTGCACTAAATTAAAGCAAAATATTATAATTTTAAACTAAAACAAAATTTACATAGTTATTTTTGGTTTATTTGATAAGTCACTTTTATTTTTTGCAATAACAATATATTTTAATCTACAGCCATAAAACAGTAATAAATAACGGTTCTAATTATTAATTACAATAAATAACAACCCCTCTTCTCCCGGTAAAATGTCGAAAAATATTCTGTCAACATAGCCTGATACTGACTTATATTTGAGGTAAAAAAATAATGTAAGTCGTCTGTCGTCAACTATCCAGCTTAAATTTCTCCTCATCGACGGGCTTTGACTTACGCCCAGCCCCCCTCTCGCTGTCCCAAACTTTGGATATACATTTTTGAATATCAGCTCTGGATACATATATATTATATACGAGTATATGTGTGTATGTGTGTTTGGATGTGTGTATTATTATATATATATTTATGATATACGCACTCGTTTGATGCATGCAAAATTATTCGCCAAACTGCAAACACTGGGCAAAAGCCGAAGGCATACTGTAGCGCACACGCTCACATGCGTGCGTTACGGGATTTCGGACTGCTGTCAGTGTGAGCGTGTGGAAATGTTTTCGAATATACATACATTAAAATTCTCGTCGAAAGGGTGTGCACGGTGTGATATGTAGTGCCACCGAATAAGGTCGGGCAAGGGGCGGGAGTCGGAGGTAAAGATTTTAAATGCGTATTTTAAGATGTCAACTTTGTCGCACGGGTTGTATGCAGGGACCGAAGAGTGCGGTACGTATATGTGTGTGTGCACGGGAATTAGCATTATATGCGCCCTGAACATATAATACATACATATTGTATACGCAGCGCCGGGTGATCCGTCGTCGAGTCGAGCACATGAATGTTTTAGTACGCATACAGATTAGTGTGTGTGTACGCGTCAAACCCCTTTTTTAACCCCGAGGATGATGCATATTTTTTTTTCGTTTTGTTTTAATCGGATCTCGTATGCAAATATCTATGAGAGTGGGTACAAAAACTAAAAAAAAACAACTAAACTATCGTAAATTCACATCGAATATCTTCATCGAAATTCTCGCATTTATTTATTTACGTCTTTATAATATACGATTACGATATAAATATCTATATACGTGAAAGCACCATCGCAGTATTATCCACTACCAACGACACGTCACAGCAACGATTTTTGGGGAGTAGCTCGCTCGTAAACATTATATTATATATATAAACGTTTTATATTATTATTATTATTATTATTATAAATATTATGTGGGAAGAGAAGAAAACTACCGACCGCCGTTGTAGGTATATAATAGTAATTTTTTTTTAATAATTTTTTTCTTTCTCTTCTCCTTTAAGCGTCGCACACGGTAGTAAAATATTCATAAGATCCACTGCGAAATTAATCACCCTCTCCAGTTTTCGCGTTAGCATATCTCCCGGGACGTCGGTCGTTCCTCTTGTGACACCATTGCGCACACGGGCGAGTACAACGAAAATCCCCAATGTAATTTCTGATTAACTAAAAAAAGACGACTACTTCCTTGAATGTTTTACTTTCTAATTTTTTTAAATTGAACTTATTTAGGTATAGTGGTCCGACGATGTACCCAAGGCAATTAGTTATTCCAACAAAAGTACTTCGTTATTTTTTCGGCTTACAACCTCAATCAGTATATAAAATTTATTTCGTTATAAATTTTATACAATTGGATATTTTGTAAATTGTTTTAAATTTCTTGGTAACCGATTTGTGTATAAATAATTCGTGACTGTGTAAATTTTTTGAGAAAATATAATATTTTATATTATGAAAATAAAAACTAATTGCGGCTATATTTACGAAAAAAAATAATATCTGACGCGTAAGTTTCGACTATGGACTTAAGTGTAAAATAGTTTCTTTAGCTTGTAATATAATGAAATAACTCTAAAAAATGTGCTGATTATGAGATTAAATTATTACTTTAGTTTAGTACACCTAAGTTGTATTTGTTATGTATATGCATGACTGATTTGTTTGTGCAATTATGCTTTTATTTACAATTAAAATATTTTAAAAATGAATATTTAGTTTTTAAAATTATACAAACTCTTATTTCAAGATGATATAAGAAGTTTTGGGATTGCTGGGCTAAAAATATTATATTTTTTTTTTTGTTTCTTAGTCAATGTAATTGTTGTTATTGTTTAAAAACCAAATAAAATAATAATAAAAAGGAAAAAGGGGGAAATGAATAATAATAATTGCTTTTATAAAACGTTAAAAAAATAGATGGTAAAAATAACGAGGAAATAAATTCGAAATTGCTTGTTAGAGACCGCCTGGTGTTGCTTGGAAAGTTCGTGCTTTTTCACCTGATGTTTAAAATTATATATATATATATAATATATATATAATATTTTTCTTCAGCTGGTAATAATAATGACGGGCCGAGGTGCCGTTATTAAAAAGTTGTGCTAGTGGAGTTCACAGGGGTAAGGAAAGCATACTCAAATTCATTCAACCGTTTTTCGAATCGTAATAAGATTACACTTCTCCATACGACAAAAAGCATGAAGATTACTTAGAAAATAAAAACTTAATTCTACGTTGAAATAAAAACAATAATAAGTTACTTACCTTCTGGACCAGCAGTGTCAGTGGCGAGTTTGTGTTGAAACGCCTTGAACGGGAAATTGGTCTGTAACCAAGGTGAAGGTTCTAGGTATTTCTGTAAACAAAAAAATAAATGAAAATAAAAATTTAATCCATATTCATTCTAATTTATAATATTGATAATAATAATATTACTGAGCATTATAAATTTAATACTCTTTAATTATATTTTTAAATCAGTGTATCTTTTAATGTTTAATAATATTCTGCGTCTTATGAGAACGAATCATGTTATCCGCTATGAATAATAATAATAATATATTCCAATCATGTACACCCTTTTATCGTATGTTTTGTCAGACAGATGTCTTCGGTGTACGTGAAATGGGTTTTTTTTTATTTCGTTATTCCCTCCTTCCGCATTTATGATAAGGGTGAAAGTCATATATTCCTAACCCGATCAATTGAATAAAATAGCCGGACTTCGGAGAAACGGAGGTCGAAGGAATAAAAGAAAGAAGATAAATGCGTGTCCGGCAGAGTCCACTCACAACGCAGATGTCGAAGATATTGGCCAATGATATATTATGCGCGTGCGCCACCACCCCATCGTTATGCTACTAGTTTGTTTAAATATTCTGGACACACGCAACCATCGTATACGCGACGATATAGTATAATAATATAATATATACTTGCATGTTTGGGACTTGGATGATTTGCAATGTTTTTAGGACAAAACTGTTATTAAAAAAAATAAAATATATGTATATAACGTGTCCGAGAAGAGTGCCACTAACTTTATAGGGCGGCTGTGATGGCGAGGAGAGAGGATACGAGGGCGCTCACTTCAGACGTAAAATAATAAAACAACACTCTGAAATATAAGGAGACGGAATATATACTCTATCACCAATGCCATGTTGACCACGGAAACTCCACACTGTACGGTCGTTTTTCATCAAAAATACGAAATATACTATTTTATACAATTCAATATTATAAATCACGATCTTTGAGTTTTGACATTCGATGATATATGCGAAGATTATTGCACTACAACTAGACGATAGATTTGTGATATAAATAATAAACGTAGTTTTTTTTTTAAATGTTACACGTGGTGTAAAATAAGTTATAGAAATGTATCAATAGGTATTGCCAAGATTTATTTCCTGAACTTTTGACAGTGCTATTATTACAAAATAATACAGTATATTGCCCGTTAATATTAAATTTTGTTTTATAATTTATATGTGTTTATAATATTTTGATAAGCATTTCTTTTTATATATTAACATATTTATTTATACTCGTGTTCTACATCTTATACTGACATTTTTTTTTTGTAAATCATTCAAATTCAACGATATAATATTTCTACAATATTCATATTGTTAAATTAATACGTTTCATATCATAAGATAATATATGCTCGATAAATTAACTCATATAGTATAATATAGTATAGTATATTATAAATAAATAGTGATATTTATAGCAATCCGTGAGTTTCCAATATTTCCTGCTTTTAAGTAGATATACGAAGAGAGGGTAATGTGTATTATAGGGTTACACAAGGGTATATTGAGGGAGCTAATGAAATCACACGATCGAGTGCGAAACGACACCCAAAATTTATGGGCCGCGTAATTTCCGTTATTTTATTGAACAGAAAACAGTGTATAGTATTTTGGTTACCTTTATCGTATTAGTGAAGCTACAATCGAGACGGGATGAATTAGTATATATTATTATCGTTTGTTTGTAATAGCTTATAATATGTGGTACTCTGAGTTGAAAGAAAAATAAATAGTATATATTTTATAAACGTCTATGTTTTATGAAAGATATATATATATCATCTAACCTAAATAAAATTTAACAGCTAAAGTTTTGCGAATGGAATATGTTTTAAATGGATTTCGTGTGTGCGACTCTACCCATAGAAGTTTGTCTTCGTGAAATGGTTTTCCAGTGTCTTTTGGCTTAGCGGAAGTATTGTATAGAAGAACACAGACCCACACATATACTGTATGCGCGTTGTAAAGGGATGGGAAATCGACTTCCGCTTTTGTGCGGTATTACCCCTTTTTTCTTGCCGCCCTTTCTACGTCGCAAATCTTTCTCCACGAGTACACACACACACACACCCCAATCGCATTCCCTTGGCTGTTTTAAATAGTTTTTGCTGCCACCGACGACGATGACGGCGACTGCAGCTCTCTCCGAAATTAACACACCAACCCCGTTTCTGTCTTTTTCTCTCCCCAGATGATTTCGGAGAGTAGCAGTGGCGGCGTTCTTTTATGTGCGTGTGTATATATCGTTCATTAAAGGCCAGACCGAAAATGAGAAAAAGCGTCGAACTTAAACGATTTTGCATTTAAACAAAAGCGACCGACCCCCTCCTTCTCAATGCGAATCGCGCTAATGGAAAATATTGTCTTTCTGGTTCGACTGAGAATTCTTCGAGATTCGGTAAACCGTATATATATATATATATATGCAAGGAAATAAATGTATTTCCGATTAAGAAAATTGATAATTGCCCCAATATAAAACCCATTCGATGAACGAGTTTTACTTATGCATATATTTTAATGACATTGATTTCATTAGATATGTCAAAATGGTATTAAATAATAAATAAATTTAAATTCGATTTATTTTCATGTTATTTTATAATACCATAAGTATTATTGTTATTATTATTATTATTATTATTATTATTGCATTGAACCCAGTCATTGAAATGAATAAATCTGTATTCAGACGCTGCTAAAAAGGGCATTGGTAATTTTTATACCAACTGTCAATATAGTACAAGCTTGTGTTTTTAAATTATTTAAATCTTGTCCGTCATTAGCATCCGGACAATGTCTGTAAATAAAACATAAAAACAAAAGGAAAAAAAAAGTAGAAGCTCTTCGATCTGCTCCTTCATTAATAATTCATTAATTGCGGTTATCAAGACCGCGGAGGATGGTCGTTTTTTTTGGAAGATGATGATTTTGACACTGGTGGGAGCAAGAAAAAAAAACTTAACAATTAAATGCACGAAAATCTGCTATCTAAACTGTTTTAATGTCGGTAATTGAACGACCGGTCCCGGGTCATTGTTATTCACCGTAAAAATGCCCTTCCGACACGGAACGAGCTGACAATTGCCGAACTGAGGGGAGAAAAAGAGAAAAAAAATTCGTTTGCGTAACATTAACTGTATAGCCACTGATTGAAAAAACTGCTTGTGTATTTAAGTTTGCTCGGTCAAAGATTTAGCACCGTTGCGTTATTTTATGCAATTTATATCTACTGAGAATAATGATTTGAAATGAAAACTAAATACATAATAAAAATATTAGGTTTAACAATTTTGTTTTCTTATTTAATATCTTTCAAAATTTATAATTATTGCAACTCAAAAATTATTATATATAACAATATTATACCTTCGTCCTTGTCATGTACCAACTACAAATATGCGATGGGTAAAAAAATTACTAGTACGTGAAATGGGTAGCCAAAAAAAAATGGTTTGTTATGTTATTTATATATGTTGTATTTTTGATATTAAATTTGAAAACATCATGAAATAGCACGAGTCATAATAATCGTATTCGAAAAATATTCACAAAATAAAATACGATTAAAAAAAAAACATATAATGACGACAATAAATCGTTATTATTATTGTTTAGGGTCTAAGTATTATTGTCAACAATACCTAAACTCTAAAACATTTCTTGCAGTTATATTAACATGTTGTCACATAACAATTTAATAAGCATTGCACATGTTATAATTAAGATGATCTGTACAAATTTGAAATGTGAAAATTAATTTAAAATTTAAAATTCATTGTATTGATATGTACCTATCGTTATCTTCTTTGCATTATTGTTAGAAAAAGCAAAAGAAAAAAGATAAATATAATTTTTAACATGGTAATTGCGAATCGAGTTAAAGAGAATAATTGTCGTTGTTTGATTTTATTATATGACTCGCGTCTCGCAGACGAATTATTATTTACCGACGACGACGTTAATCGTTTCGAGAGTACTTTGAAATTGCGCCGTGGCTTTAACCCCTTTCACTGTACTTATATATACATATATAGTATACCATACTCGAGGCGTTTTTTTTCTGGAAACGAGGATGTTGAGACGTCGGGGCGGTGATCGTATTAAATCCTATGATGCTATATATGTATATAGGTGGATTTTTGGACTGTGAGCGGATGGAGAGTAACAAACGGGACCGCGCAGCTCGCGCGTACACACAGCGATATAATATATAGTGTACGACGGCTAATACAATTATGAGCCATCAACTCGAGCTTGTGGTGATGAGAGTCGGTTCGGATAAAGTTTTAAGACATACCGAGCCCGGGGCGGATTTTTAGCTGCGGTCTGAAAACACTGCCATCTCCCCCGCACCGTCACCTCCGGTCCGATATTAAAACGGCGGATATCGCGAGGCCCGTATTAAACTATTATTATTATTATTGTATATTATACACGCGTACATCCGGTTCAGTTTTAATTTCCAACGTCTACAGCGGCGGCAGCGTGCATCTTCCACGCGCCCTAGTCGAAACCTAAACTAATTATCTCTCTCGCGCGTGGCCGGGGCGCAGCTCCATCGTGGTTTTTCCCCGAAAGTATTGTAACAATTCTCCTCGCACGACGTGAATATTATAACATGATATTTACATCATATACAATATGACCCTCTGCTGTTATATTAAACATATTTACTTGAAATATTTTTAATATAAATATATTTATATTTTTTCAATATTTTAATTAAAATCAAAAACGTTAACTAATTTAATTATGTTAAGGCAATAACTAAGTTGTAAAATTAGTACTATAAATTTTGTATTGTCATAAATTTATTGACATGTGCATATGCTCAGGATTTTAGTTTACTAGAGGGGTTATGTCAAATATAAAAATAAAAATGTATTATATATTTATATCTAATATCACTTACCAGTTGTCATCTTAGTTTTCACAACTAATAATTAAGATGAGAGTTTTTTTTTTTACAGGTACATACAAAATACATAATTTAATGTTGATAATCTAGATGACCAAAGTTCAAAGTCCA